CAGGGGGAATGTAGTACTAGTGACACCTTGATTTCAGCCCAATTATAATGAGTTTAAACTTATGACTCCCAGAACTAGGAGATAATTTTGTAGTGTTTCAATTCACCAAAGTTGTGGTAATTTGTTCTAGAAACCACTAATAAACTATACATCGAGTCAGTATACATCTGTACCAACCCATTGTGGGTATTTTATCAGCTCTACCAAGCCATGAAGATGACAACAACAATTCACTATAAGATGGAAACAGAACATTTGATACTGAACATAAACAGAAACAAAACACAAATAAAAACATTTGACCTAGAAGACTCCCATGTTACCTACTTCCCTTGTACTGAGACTTCTTCTTCCACTCATACCTATAACCTAGAGAAGGGAGATGGAGGCTATCCAATAAAAACTATCAAAGAAGAAAAAAATCTTTGGCCAGTGAGACTGCTCAGCAGATAAAATCACTTGTTGCACAAGCCTGACAATAGGACTTCAATCTAGAAAATTCACAACCTGGAAAGAGAACCAAATCCTGAAAGTTGTCCTCTGATTTCCACATGCATACCATGAAGTGATTGTGATTCTGCCTACACATACACACATACATCAAACACACACACACACACACACACACACACACACACACACATCTTAAAAAGAAAAAACCCGAAAATCCACTTCACAGATGGGATGTTGCAATTTTTAGGTATTAATCAAAAAGAAAAAACCCTCAAATCCACTTCACAGATGGGATGTTGCAATTTTTAGGTATTAATCAAAAATGGAGGTGCTGGGATTACAACACAATTAGCAGAGTGCTTTCCTGGTGTGCACAATCCCTGGGTTCAATCTTCAACACTGCATAAAATTGTACATATAGTGGCACGTGCCTGTAATCCCAGTACTTGGAAGGTAAAGACAGGAGGGTCAAAAGTTTGAGGTCATTCTCAGTTACATTTCAAGTTTGACGTCAGACTCTGACACATGAAACCCTGTCTCAAAACAAAATAAATTCCTCAAAAACTAGAGAGCTGCTTCATGACTCTACTACATCTTTAAAAGATAACAGTTAAGTGAAATTCTTGCAATGAATGCAGCTTCGGTGAAGGCTTTTGGCCATTTCCTCAACAGGGGAAGAAAAGCAGCTTGGAATTTATACTTAGTCTCTTGACCAATAGTGAATGCCTGGCAGGCTAGTTGGAGACTGAAAAAAAGAAGCAGAAAAAGAAGCAGAGCTCAGTGGTGAAGGCCTACAACCCATCCACTCAGGTAGCTGAGGCAGGAGAATCACAAGCTTGAGAACTGCCTGAGCCATGGGAGGTGTCCCAGGCCCACCTGGGGGATACAACTCAGTGGTAAAACACTTGCCTGGCATCTGAAAGGTCCCAGGCTACAACACCACAAAAGCAAAAAATAAAAACCCCACTAATGATGGAAGATTAAACCAAAGAGATCCGGACTAGAGGAGTCTCCAATCTGGGTTGGCTGCTACATGGGTCTTAGTAGCTTAGGTCAACACCCACAAGAAAGTACTTGCTGTAAAGGAGATTCAAAAGAACCAGAAGATGATTCACCCAGATGTCAGCCAGACAGTGTCCTTAGATACCCAAGAGATGTACCCACCGGCTGGGTGGCTATGGAAGTTCAACAAGATGGGCTTCTTCTTGCAAAAGCTGACATCATTGTTGCCCTTCCTGAATCAAAAGCCAGCAGGCCAGTGCTAAGCTCCCAGCCTAACTCCAGTTCTCAGGGAAACCAGTTACCTCTTTAAGAGCAGGCTGATTACACTAGAGCCCCTCAGTTTGCAGGAAGAAGTAAAATTATGCTGATTCTAGATACAACTCCTCCTTCCTAGCCCTTGGTTGTTTAATCCATTATGGTGATGCCATGAAATAGAGACTTAAGGAAGAGAGAATGAAACAGGGTGAGCAAACACAGGATAAAATTGATGTTGTCCACCACAAAGAAGGAATGATTTGTAAACGTTGGCAAGGATATAGAAACTGAGGTCTTGGTGCCAAAAGAACATGCAGGCAAAGAGTTGTAAAACAACCTTTGTCATTCAAAGCCCCCCCCTCTCTTATCTCTCTGTGTGTGTGTGTGTGTATGTGTGTGTGTTATGAGATCAGAGTCTCACTTAATAGCCTTAATAGAACACTTGGTGATCCCCCTACTGTCTCCCCAGTGTTAGGATTACAGGTGTGAGCTACTACACCAAGAGTAACTTTTTTTTTTTACATAGGCCAGGCTGACTTTGAATTCTCAGTCTTCCTGCATTGGCCTCCTGAGCATTGGGCTCATAGGTGTGGGCCACCTTGGCTGGTTCCTGATTTAAATTCTAGTTATTGACACAGTGACTTGATCATAGCATGAGAAAGAAGATCAGCTGACCTTGCACATTGCACAGCTTTGCCCCTTTGGACTCAAGGTAGACCCTGAATTACTTATTTTTCTTGTTTTTGTTGTTGTTGGGTATCCACCAGAGAAGACTATTTGGACATGTGTTTAAGCCAATAGAAAGTCTTTGTTAGCTGACTGGAAACTACACCAGAATCCCAGGGTGGCCGTGAGCCTTCTCAGGGTGTACTTTTAAGCACAAAAACCATATCCTAGATTGATATAGCAAGAACTTTTAGCCAGAAGCAGAATTACAGGAGCCAAAAAGCAAGGTTAGTACATTTAGAGACTTTCCCAGAACTATGGAGTTTGATGAATTAGGTCTTGTTTTCATTTTGGCAGGTGGTGCTATCTATGTGCCAAGTTTTATGGCCTGAATGGAATTTCTATCATGGTATAAATTATGCTAAGGTATGGGGGACTACTAAGACTTGGGGGCCTGTTATAGCTGTGACCAAATGCCTGGTAAGAAGCAACATAAGAAAGGAACAGTTTATTTTGGCTCACAGTTTGAGGGCACATAGTCCATCATGGTAAGGAAGACAGGTAGATATTCAAAGTAGCTGGTCAAGTTTCATCCATGGTCAGGGAACAGAAGCATGAGATTGCTGGTGGGGATTAGAATGAAGTATATTTGGAGAACAGCAAGGAGAAAGGAATACTTGAGTCCAGGAGTTTAAGATTAACCTGGGCAACACAGAGTGACCCCTTTCAAAAAGAAAAACACTATCGCAGCGAGTGACATATCATATTGAACAGGTGTGGGAGGGAGGTAAACCTGGATATTTGATGTCTTTCTCTAAGTGGATAATATTGAAAAAATCACGAATTCAGTTCTAGATATAATACGTGTGAAGTATGTGGTAAACTAGATAACATCCTCCAAAGACATCCATGCCCTAATCACCAGAACCTGTGAATGTCATTTATTTGTTAAACTAAGGCAGGAGGATTGAAAGTTGAAAGACAGCCTGGGCTCCAGGGTGAGTTCAAGCCTTAAAATACATAAAATAACAAATATGTAAAATGCTTATAAGTGCAGGAATGAATGTAGCTCATTAATAGAGCATTTAACTATATTATGAAGCCCTGAGAATTCAATCTCCAACAGGAGGAGAGATGTAAAAGAAAAGAGAAGAGGGCTGGAGAGATGGCTCAGTGGTTAAGAGCATTGCCCATTCTTCCAGAGGTCCTGAGTTCAATTCCCAGCAACCACATGGTGGCTCCCAACCATCTGTAATGTAATAAATAAATAGAGAATAAGAAGAAGGATAAGGGGAGAAAAGGGAGAGGAGGGAAAGGAAGGGGAGAAAAGGGGAGGGGAGGGGAAGGAGAGAGGCAAGGAGGCTGGGAAGGATCCCCACCCAAGAGATATCAGATAGACAGCTGGAAATAAGAATCTGGGAGTGAGAGAAGGCTGGGTTTGAGGTATAAAACTGAGCACCATAAACATATAGGTGGTATATGAAGTTGTGAATGATACATAAATTCATATTAATACTTTGCCATACATCTTTCAGTACGGTATTCAATTTCTCTGACCCATTACTGGGCATTTATTCTTTCTTGGCACCATCTCAAACAACTTGCACTCTCTCTCTCTCTCTCTCTCTCTCTCTCTCTCTCTCTCTCT